GACGACACTGGGGGTTAAACCGAGGATGTACAAGGATGGCCAGCCTATGGATGGTTGCTGTTGTGGTGTACCTCAGCGCGGTGACGACGACACTGAGGGTTAACAGAGGATGTGCAGTGAACAATGTTCTCTTTACTCCGCAGTCTTTTAACCAAGGGTTGTAATTTTGGCTGTACGTTTGGCAAACCTACTCATGTTCCTAATGAGTTTTGATAACATTTTTCACCCAAGCGTTTGGGGGCGGGCTGATGAGAGCCACAAGGACACATCACCTCTGGGGGCCGCCGAACTCCGAGATCCCCTGACAGCTCTGTTAATGCTCTTTTGAGACATTATCCGTGGCGCACGACGAGGACGTGCTGTAGGGGTCTTGCGTGAGGTTCCGTACAACCAGGATAGTTAAGGACTGGCGCCCGAGTGACGTATGGAGTATCTCCTTATACACATCATGTTGGACTTAACTTCCCCTCACGCCTGTGACATAAATCACCGCGCCACAGTTACATAAAGTGTTAGTGCTCGAGTTTCTAAGACAATGGTCATGTGTGATTGATTCTTTTTTTTTTTTTTTTTATAATTAATAAAAATCCGGGTTTTTTTTTTTTTTTCCCTTCTGGCGGTGCCGGCACCTTTTTAGGCATTATATTTTAGTACTACTGTAAAAGTGATGAATACCAGTACCTTTGTTTAAACACTTTATGTTAAATACCTGCATCTTTTTGTAAAGGGGAAAAAAGCCCTTATAATAATTTGTAATAATGATCTTTAATTTACTATTAATTACAAGTCACCGAGCTTCAAGATTTGAGCTCCGAGCTTCAAGATTTGAGCTCCGAGCTTCAAGATTTGAGCTCCGAACTTCAAGATTTGAGCTCCGAGCTTCAAGATTTGAGCTCCGATCTTCAGGTTTTTAGCTCCGAGCTTCAAGATTTTGGTCTAAGTCTCATTCGAAGTTTCGACTGCAATCGGGTTTCCCCGTACGTGCCTGGTTCCGATGCCAGGAAAAAAAATCAAAAGAAGGTACTTGCGGTCTTTGAGTCTGAGGATTTACGGCCGCATGGCTAGTGTTGTCGCCACGACTATGCATGTGATAATTTTATTTTGCCCCCTGACAGAGAAAATCCCCAGCCTTACCACGGATTCGAACCCGAGTCTCCCAGCCTTCTAACCGTTCGGCCAGCCGTTCCCCATGACAAAAGCATTAGGACAAAAGAACGAGAACACGAAGAGTTCAGTTTAAGGGAGTTTATTGTGTTCGTTCATTGTGTCCAAAAGCCTGACTTTGTTTAAAAAAAAAAAAAAAACATTCATTCCCAGGTGGGCCCAGCCTTAATTGACTATCAGACAAAATTATAGGGAAGTAAAGGCAGCCGACATTATAATTACCACTGTGTGCTGATTTTGCAGTTCCCCTCCACCCACCCCACCCCCGGGCTTCTTTGCATTATGTGTGATTCCTCTTCTTATTTCTTTCGCTTGAAATAGATTATCTATATCTGCAATGTTATTTCTATTATGTACTTCACTATCTTTTGCAATTTACTCAGTGACCCGTAAAGTTTGACTTGCACCGATGTTTCTCTTGGCCAAAAGTTTTGCCTTGATATGTTGAATTTGGGACAGTATTCTGTAGGATTAACATCTCAGGGATGAAAATCAAAAATGTACAAAACCCGGAAACCCCCGTTTATCCGTATGCCTCTATACTACACATTTATATTGGGGACACCACCAATCGGTTGGGAGGTAACTTGTAGTCCAGTGTGGATGTGTTGGTCCTTATGATATCTGGAGATGTCTGACGCCAGGGGGTGATAACTCACCGGATGCCGACTATCGCTGCATTCCTAAAAAAAAAAAAAAACACTCAAATAAAAAGAGTACTTTACTTTACCATACTGTATCTGTCTATATACATAATCCCGTCATCCCCATATGGGATGCAATTTTTAGTTGTTTTGAAACCCAACACTGGCTTTTGCCAGGGGCCCTAAATATAGCCGGGTCTGAAATATGGCCTAACGGCTGAACAGGGTTTCCATGACCTCTTCACGGGTGATCCTCATCCGCATGGTGGCACTTGGTGTCACCGGGTGTTTATCGCTTGTGTGATGTCCTGTTGGGGTACAACTTATATAAATACATACTATATTATACCCAGATGATTTTTGTGAAGGTTTTTAAAACTAAAATTGGTAATGTAAAAGTAAAGTAAAGAACCCTTCTACACTTCTTCAGGTGTAATGGGCGTATAGGGCTAGACCTATGTTTCGTAGATCAATCAGCACTCGGTAGATAATGTGGTCAACACCACCCCGGCCACCTTTACTTCCCAGGACTTTACTCGGTACCCATTTAAGGCTGGGTCGACCAGGTGATTTTTGAAAAACAGTCAGGCTCTGTCAGGATCGAAACCCAAGACATTCGGATCTACAGGCGAGCTTCTAGCCGCTACAGCGCGGCTGCTCATGATATTTTAGTGTACTCTATTGTATCTCCCGATGTACTAAATGTCTGCGTCTGTGGCTTAGGCGTTGCGAACGCCCTTCGTAACGCCGGAGTTTCGGGTTCGGTCCCAGCTGCGGGCCTTGCGCCTTGCGTTGGTTTCGACAGTGGAATCGAGAAGCCGACTGTGCAGAAAGCAATGGCAAACTACTGGACGTAAACTTGCTAAGAAAAACCACAACAGCCAAAAAATGATGGAGTTGGTTCTGCAACGTCCTGTAAAGGATACGCAACTAACTGTTTATATACTATGTAAAATCATTAATAATTATTATTATTATTATTATTATTATTACATGAAACATATATGTTCCACAGTGTTGTTATCGTGAACGGAAAGTTACAATAGAATGATTTATATTGGTTTCAGATGTTAATTTTTTTTACAATATAATGATCAAATCAAAGAGTAGAATAGACACCTAAGTATAGTATATCTTTTCTCCTTCTTTTTCTAATACTAATACTACTACTACTACTACTACTACTACTACTACTACTACTACTACTACTACTACTACTACTACTACTACTACTACTACTACTACTACTACTACTACTACTACTACTACTACTACTACTACTACTACTACTACTACAAGTACTACTACTACTACTACTACTACTACTACTACTACTACTGCTACTGCTACTACTACTACTACTAATACTACTACTAGTACTACTACTACTACTACTACTACTACTACTACTACTACTACTACTACTACTACTACTACTAATACTAATACTACTGCGACTACTACTACAACCATTGCTACTACTGTTGTTACTACTACTACCACTGCTGCTGCTACTACTTCTTCTTATTTTACTACAACTGCTGCTACTGCTAATACTTCTTCTGTTGCTTTTCCTCCTACTCCTAAAACTACTACTGGTGATGCTGCTACTACTATTACTACTACTACTAAACCTACTACCACCACATTGACGACCCCTTCATCCTTCTCCTCTCCTTATCCTTCTCATTCACCCCGGACTTGCCTGACAGATTCGTAATTTTCAAAGCAGTGATTATGTCAATTTAATATATTCTTTCCGAAAAATGATAAACTGAACATATTCATTCAACGATTAAAAACCCATTAAACAGTTGTTTCTCGTAATTTACTGTCTTGCCATTGTTAAATACTGAATGCATATTGTGATTTACTATTTAAAATGAATATTATACTCATGAAAACCATCATCAATTAAAATGTCATTAATTCAAGTTATAGACTATAAATTATGAAAGGAACATTTATTTTTCTAATATAGATTCTGCGTGTTATAAATTTCCGTTGATAGAGGTCGGTCAAAAGTCAGTTTCTGGAGGGAAAATGTTCCGGCGGATAGAAGTTATTCAAAAAGTTAATTAGATTCTGCAGAGCTAAGAGCCGCCTGAAGAAATGAAACAATATCTTGTTCTTTCCGATTTAAAGTGTCTATCTTGCCAGCAGAACTGTCTCCAGACCGTTTGCCGAGCTCTAGCAATCTCCGCTTCATGTCTTCTCTTTCTTCTGCAAGTCGACGCTGCTCATGCTCCACCACCATGTCTGTTAGCACCGACAAGGCATTGGAGATTGACCATGTTCGTCTGTCTCTGTATTCCGTTTCCCGTTTATGAAGACTATGGCGATTGTTGTCGTTACCGGATTCTCGTCGTTTCATCAACCGTAGTCGCCTCTTTTCTTCTTGGTTTAAGCTCTTCCCACCACGATTTGTTCTTTTTTCTGTCAAATGCTTGAGTATTACAGCATCGTCGCTAGCGTCTTCTGCTTCATCCTTTCTCGTCACTAAATTATCAGCATTGCTGTTCAAGTAAGGATTAGAGTTAGCAGGTAGGAGATATCCCCGTTCAGACTCATTTCCTGTAACTTCTGACAGACTGGGCACTGGAGCTTTCATAACTTCTGATGTCGGTACAGGCATTGCGCTGATGCTCCACAGGAGACAGGGCAGAAGGCAGGCGATCAACACAGTCGAGTGTTTCCCCATGGCAACTAGTGGTACCGTCTGGTTTTCTGTAAAGATATCGTAGAAACATATTTGATTTTTTAAACATTTAGGTAGTAAATTGATAATCAAGGGAACAGAAACAAATAATGACATAATTTGCACGGCAAGAACGGGTTTTAAAATATACCACCCCAAAAAAAAATAGAATCATTAAATCGATCAGGAAACCACCAGCCCTAGCACAAGACGACTATTTTATTATGGACAGACAAGAACAAGTCATTATCCTCCGCCTCAGAACAGGGCACAACGAATGCATATTTTGATTTACTATTTAAAATGAATATTATACTCATTGAAACCATCATCAATTAAAATATCATTTATTCAAGTTATGGACTATAAATTATGAAAGGAAAATTAATTTTTCTAATATAGATTCTGCGTGTTATAAATTTCCGTTGATAGAGTCGGTCAAAAGTCAGTTTCTGGAGGGAAAATGTTCCGGCGGATAGAAGTTATTCAAAAAGTTAATTAGATTCTGCAGAGCTAAGAGCCGCCTGAAGAAATGAAACAATATCTTGTTCTTTCCGATTTAAAGTGTCTATCTTGCCAGCAGAACTGTCTCCAGACCGTTTGCCGAGCTCTAGCAATCTCCGCTTCATGGCTTCTCTTTCTTCTGCAAGTCGACGCTGCTGGGTTTCCACCACCATGTCTGTTAGCACCGACAAGGCATTAGAGATTGACCATGTTCGTCTATCTCTGTATTCCGCTTCCCGTTTATGAAGACTATGGCGTTGAGACTCCTGTTCAGCAAGAGTTTTGCGGTTCCCGGATTCTCGTCGTTTCATCAACCGTAGTCGCCTCTTTTCTTTTTGGATTAGGCTCTTTCCATCACGATTTGTTCTTGTTTCTGCCAAATGCCTGAGTATTACAGCATCGTCGCTAGCGTCTTCTGCTTCATCCTTTCTCGTCACTAAATTATCAGCATTGCTGTTCAAGTAAGGATTAGAGTTAGCAGGTAGGAGATATCCTTGTTCAGACTCATTTCCTGTAACTTCTGACAGACTGGGCACTGGAGCTTTCATAACTTCTGATGTCGGTACGGGCATTGCGCTCGTGCTCCACAGGAGACAGGACAGAAGGCAGGCGATCAACACAGCGGAGTGTTTCTCCAT